TAGATAGATAGATAGATAGATAGATAGATAGATAGATAGATAGATAGATAGATGGTTATTATAGTGTTCCTTACATCAAATTATACACAAAAGTACAGTCCTACATAATGTCATGCCTGTAATCAGAGCACTCTAGAGGCAGGAGCTGGAGGATGGCTTCAAGTTCAAAGGCCACCCTTGTCTACAATTAAGTAAGTTCTAAGCCAACAGATCTACATAGTGAGAGCCTCTCTTTAAAAATGAAAACTTATAGATAAAAACAAAACACCTCAAAACAGAATAAAGACTCAAAGAAAGATGCTAAAATGATTAAGCTCTCAGAAAAAAGCAAGCTGAACAAGCCATAGAGAACAAACTAGTACGGAGTGCCCCTCCATGGTCTCTGCTTCAGTTCCTACACCCAGGTTCCTGCCTTGGCTTCCCCGATGATGGATTGTAAGATGGAACCATAAGCCAAATAAATTCTTTCCTCTTCAAGTTCTTTTAAGCCAGTGTTTATCATAGCAACAGAACAAATTAATAATACACCCCTAAAATCAAAACAAAAAAAAAGGTGGAGGGACAATTTTTGAAAATATAAGTCTAGGCTGGCTGCTCTAACTCAGGGTTAGAGAGCTTCCTAGCAGGCATGAAGCCCTAGATTCAGTCCTCAGCATCAGAAAATGTTGGAGAAGGGCTGGCTAGTTCAGTCAGTAGAGCATGAGACTCTTAATCTCAGGGTCATAGGTTCCGGACTCACAATGGGCACCAATCTGTTGGAGAAGGGTCGCTTGTTGGTTTTTAGCCGCTTAGCCCCAAAATAATTACACAGAAACTGTATTAAATTAAATCACTATTTGGCCCATTAGCTATAGCTTTTTATTGGCTAATGCTTATATATGAATTTGACTCATTTTTATTAATCTGTGTATTGCCATGTGGCTGTGGCTTACTGGCTAAAGTTTAGGCGTCTGTCTCCGGCAGGGCTATATGGTGTCTCTCTGAATTAGAATTTCTGTAGGAGAAATTCTGGAAGGCAATATGACTAAAATACAATTAAGATTTGGATTTACCCTATTCACATGTGCCTCCTGTAATTTTTTTCAACAACTGTTAATTAATTAATTAATTTTTTGCTTTAGTTGTTAATTCTCTGGGACTATTTAAGTTTTATCACCATTTAAGATTTTGTTTAAATGAACTATTAGGTCAGGTGCTATTTCAACAATAAGACAAACAAACAAAACACTGCCTATTCCGGTGTATACAGGTAATCCTAGCCCTCGGAAGCGAGAGGCAGGAGGATCAGAGTTCAAAGTCATCCTGTACTACATGGTAAATTTGAGGACAGTCTGGTGTACAGGAGCATTGTCAATAAATAAGTAAGTAAATAATCAAAGCTGGTATTGTGATAAATGCCTCTGAACCAAAATTCTAGAGACTAAGACAGGAGGCCAGCCTGGCTATATAACAACATCCTATTTCAAAAACAAACAAACCAAAAACAAAATAAAAGCACAAAACTCAAGGGCCAGGACATAAATTCCCATTTACGGTGAGAACAGTTGCTGGCATTGTTTGTAGCAATGGAATTACAAGTCAGATGATGATCTTCAAATTAACTACAGGATGATTAGAATCACCTGTTACACTGGGATTTACTCATCTGTAAATATACCCATCACAAATATATTCCCAATACCTGCATATGTATACCAGGCACTAATCCTCAAGACTTATTATAAGATGACTAGAATAATCTCCTGGTACACTGGGATTCACTCACAAATATTTCTTAAAACCTGCCAAGCACTGTTCTATACACTTGTGACAGAGCAGTGTATACAAAACAGATTAAAAGTGGTGGCGCACGCCTTTAATCCCAGCACTCAGGAGGCAGAGGCAGGTGTATCTTTGTGAGATTTAGGCCAGCCTGATATACAGAGTGAGTTCCAGGACAGGCACCAAAGCTAAGCAGAAACCTTGCCTTGGGGAAAAAAAAAAAAAAAAAAAGTATTTTGGACTCAAGAGACCCAACTCAATCAGCATACTTCACTTCTGAAGAGAATGTACTAGGACAATTTCAGGAATACTATGAGCAAGCAGCTTCACTAACTCTCAGGGAAGAAGGATAAAAAAAAAAAACCTATCCAAGAATCATAAGCAGGACTATAAATGCCTAAAAGAGAAGGGTCAAAAAGGTCTGATGCCATGACCATGATTTTTCTCAAAATTATCCATAAATTATTATTTATCCCAATTAAATAATAATTTAATTAATTATTAATATAATTATACAATATGTAATATAATATATATTATATAATAAATTAAATTATCCCAAAATAAGGGCTAAAATATCAAGCCTTTAAGGTAAATCCTGTTAAACCGGGAGGTGGTGGTGCACGCCTTTAATCCAGCACTCAGGAGGCAGAGGCAGGTGGATCTCTGTGAGTTGGAGGCCAGGCTGGTCTACAGAGTGAGTTCCAGGACAGTCAGGGCTGTTAAACAGAGAAACCCTGTCTCGAAAAACAAACAAACAAACAAAAAAACAAAAAACAAAAAAAAGTAAGTCATGTTAAACAGATGTTCTGAATTTCCTTTACTTTGAAAGAAAAACTATAATCAGTGCTAATATGTGGGGAGGGAGGAGTTTTTGCTTATGTTTTTTCCCCCTACATTTATTGTAGTGTGTGCAGATACATGCACAAACTCGTGTGCCACAGCACATATATGAAGGTTAATGACAACTCAAAAGCAGTCATTTTTCTCCTTCTACCATGTGGTTCTGGGCATCGAAGTGAGGTTGCCAGGCTTAGCAACAAGTGCTTTGACCTGCTGAGCCATCTACCCAGCTCAGGCTCTGGCTGACTTTACTCTACACTTTATTTTACTTTAGAGGGTCTTGCTATGTATCCTAAGTTGGCTACAAACTATTTTTTTTTTTTATTTTATGGCTTCATTGGAATCTTAAAGTCTTTTTTTAAAAAAGATTTATTTATTTATTATGTATACAACAGTCTGCCTCCATGTATGCCTGCATGTCAGAAGAGGGCGCCAGATCTCATTACAGATGGTTGTAAGCCATTGTGTGGTTGCAGGGAATTGAACTCAGGTCCTCTGGAAAAGCAGCCAGTGCTCCTAACACTGAGCCATCTCTCCAGCCCTTGGCTACAACTCTTTAGTTCAAGCTAGTATACAGAGCTTTCTATTCTCCTGCCTTAGCCTTTCAAGTATACCACTAATGCTATATGCTTATAATTACAGGTAAACAGAAAAAAAAGATCAGATAGAAAAAAATAGGGTTAGCAAGAAGGCTCAGCAGGTAAAGACCATTGGCACCAAATATGATCACCTAAGATTGATCCACAGAACCCACCTGATGGGAGAGAAATAACTCTAGAAAGTTGTCCTCTGACCTTCACAAGCACACACATACATAACTAAATAAATATTAAAAAAAAAAAGACTTTAGCCACACCAGGTGGCACATTCCTTTAATCCCAGCAAAGACAGATAGACTGACCACTACAGATTCAAGACCAGCCTGGTCTAAACAGCAAGTTCCAGGCCAGGAAAAGCTACATAGTAAGACTCAAAGAAACAGGAACAAAAAAACTGTAACTGAGCTGTCATGATAGCACATCAGGTAACCATGGTTGTCCTCTGACCTCCTCATAGGTACTGTCACACATGTACCGTTGTACACACATGCACACTATAAGTAACAACCAGGCAGGATAACATACACCTTTTTTTTTTCCTTTTAAGACAGGGTCTCGGGGCTGGAGAGATGGCTCAGAGGTTAAATTGCCTGCTCTTCCAAAGGTCCTGAGTTCAATTCCCAGCAACCACATGGTGGCTCACAACCATCTGTAATGGGGTCTGGTGCCCTCTTCTAGCCTGCAGGCATACACACAGATAGAATATTGTATACATAATAAATAAATAAATAAATAAATATTTAAAAAAAAAAAAAGACAGGGTCTCTTACCCGAGCAGGGGTGGCACACACCTTTAATCCCAGCACTTGGAAGGCAGAGGCAGGAAGATCTCTGTGAGTTCGAGACCAGCCTGGTCTACAAGAGCTAGTTCCAGGACAGGCTCCAAAGCCACAGAGAAACCCTGTCTCAAAACAAACAAACAAACAAACAAAAAAGACAGAGATCTGCCTAGCTCTGCCCTGCAAGTGCTGCCACCACTCCCAGATGAGGCAGAGATAGGCCAATCTTTTTGAGCTAACAGCCAATATGGTCTATATAAGTTCCAGGACAGGTAGGACTATACAGGACAACCCTGCCTTAAAATAAAGAGAGAGAGGCATAACATAGCAGTCTGCCAGCATTCACACAAATCTCCGCTTTCTCTTCAGTATGGTAAGATGAACATTTACGGAATGTCTCTAGTCACACACTACTACATAGCAAAATCAGAACCAAAACTCATCTCTCTGGCTTTGGAGTCCATTTCAGCCACCTGGAGCACCCTGGAAGAGGTTTAATCTCCTCGGATGCCAAGAGAAAATGGCATCAATCTATCTACCTGAGTGTGGCCACTTCGTTTTGTCAGTTTCACTCTTGTTTGGTCCAGGCAGGGTACATCTCCATATCGGTTTTTCTCTAGGTTTCCGGGAGACCTGAAGAAAATAAGAGGCAAGTTAAAATAAGGAGACGTGTGAGGATCAGATGTTCAAGGCCATTCTTAGCTACATAGAGAACTTCAAGACAGTCAGAACTACACAAGACTCCTCTAAAAATAAATGAAAAGGATGGGGCTGTAGCTCAGTAAAAGGGTGATTGCACATCCTCAACCCTCACTGCTTTTTGCTTTGTACTATTTGGCTCTGAAAAAAAATATTTAGATATATTACTGATTAAAAACTTACCAAGACCACCCACATATAATGAATAATAATATCCTATATTATTGGAGCACTGGGAATGTAGCTCAACTAGAATAGCACTTGCTTCCCATGCACAACACGTTGGTTTGATCTTCAGTCACTGCCTGAGCTGGGTGTAGAAGGACATGCCTATATGGCCAGCACTCACTTGGTAGAGTGAGAAGGATCAGAAGTTCAATGTCAAACTTAGGTCATACAGAGTTCCAGATCAGCCAGGGTTACACAATACCCTGACTCAAAAAAATAAGTATTCTATACTGTTGGGCACATATGAATACATAATGATATAATCAAAATGGCTAGAAAGACACCACATTTATACAAGGTATAACTGCTTGTAAAAAGAAAGAACTGAGGGTGAGGACTGGGAGTGATTCAGCTTCATAATGAATTCATTCATGTAAAAAAAAAAAAAGACAAATATGACCCAACAGTAACAAGTATCATCTCTGGTCATAGGAACTGGGGGTTTATACTATGTTACTTTTTTACATATATTTTTCCTTCACCTTTTTAATTTAAATTTGTATTTACTTGGTGTGTTGGGATACATGTAGAAGTCAAAGAGACAGGAATTGCAAAAATTAGTTATCTCCTTCCACAAAGTGAGTTCCAAGGATCAAATTCAGCTCCTTAGGCAAGTGGGTTTATCCAAAGAACCATCTCCTTACTGGTTTTTTGTTTTGCTTTGTTTTGAGATAGGTTCTTACACTACTGCCAGGCTGTTCTCAAACTCTTAGCGACTCTCCTGCAGACTCCCAAGTAATGGGATTACATTTCAAGTCACTATACCTGGCTCTTTTCTACATCTTTTTTGTTTATTTGTTTGTTTTTCAAGACAGGGTTTCTCTGTAGCTTTGGAGCCTGTCCTGGAACTACCTCTTGTAGACCAGGCTGGCCTTGAACTCACAGAGATCCGCCTGCCTCTGCCTCCCGAGTGCTGGGATTAAAGCCATGTGCCACCACTGCCCTGCTTTTTTCTACATCTTAAAAACTTCCCTTTGAGGCAAGAAAGACAGTTTGGCAGTTAAGAACACTTAGAACCACCTGTGATTCCAACTCTAATATCCACAAACTGCACACTCTATCTTCAAACACAAGCCTATGAATGTAGACAGAAATTTCTGTCCTGCCCAGTTCCACAGCCGTTCAGTCACAAAGAAACACACAGAGACTTATATTAATTATAAACTGTTCGGCCTATTAGCTCAGGTTTATTATTAACTACTTCTTACAACTTAAATTAACCCATAATTCTTGTCTACGTTTAGCCACGTGGCTTGGTACCTTTTCTCAGGGCAGCATTCTCATATTGCTTCCTCTGAGTCCAGTTGATGACTGCATCTCTGCCTTTCCTCTTCCCAGAATTCTCCTAGTCTGGTTGCCCCACTTATACTTCCTGCCTGGCTACTGGTGAATCTGCATCTTATTGAACTAATACAAGTTACAAATCTTTACAGTATACAAGAGCATTATCACATCTCCTCAAGCAAGGCCACACCTCCTAATCCTTCCCAAACAGTTTTACAAACTGCACACTAAGTCTAAAAATACAAGCCTTATAAAGGATATTCTCAGTCAGACAATCACACAGTCTTTAAAAAAAAATAAAATAAGCTGGGCAATGGTGGCACACTCCTTTAATCCTAACACTCAGGAGGCAGAGGCAGGCAGATATCAGTAAGTTTGAGGCCAGCCTGGTCTACAAAGAGAGTCCCAAGACAGTCAGGACTGTTACACAGAGAAAGCCTGCCTCACAAAACCAAATATTTATTAATTAGTTAGTTAAAATTTGGGGAAATTAAATTTTAAATAAAACTTTTAAAAATTAAAAAATTCTATGGAAAATTTGAGCAATTGTGAACACTCTGATATTTACTTTACAATCCAGAATTCCAATAAAGATATAGTTTGCTATCTGTAGGAATTAGGTAGTTTTAATAGAACCTGATTGAAGAATGAAAAGTCAGGCGCTAATAAGGCTTATGGGTTCTAGATAATCAAGCAAAGGCTCCAAAGTTCAATAAAAAGGCAAGATTTGCCGGGTGATAGTGGCGCACGCCTTTAATCCCAGCACTCGGGAGGCAGAGACAGGTGGATCTTTGTGAGTTTGAGGCTAGCCTGGTCTACAAGAGCTAGTTCCAGATTCTAAAATAGCAGCTAGTATGAATGGTACAAGCACACAATCAAAACCCACCCTTGAGGCAATAAATAACTACAGGGGCACCTACATCAAAATCTTAAAACCCCTGTTCCCAGACTGTTTCCTCGATTCCCACTGAGGAAACTGAAGACGGTAGTGCACACCAGTATCCCAGCATACAGGAAGAAGAGGCAGGAATATCAGAAGGTCAGGGTTATCCTTAGCCACAGAGTCAAGTCTTCGAGCAGCTTGGGCTAGATGAGATCCCATGGAGTAGGAAGAGAATCAATAGGGTGGAAGGTAGCAACTCTGGGGAAAGTATGCATGGTGGTTTTTAAGAGGGGTTCAGCACTTGGAAGATTAAGACAGGAGGATCACCATTTTAGGCTAGCCTGGAATATATATGTTCAAGGAAGGCTAGGGGAAAAAAAAAAACAAAAACTGTTCTGCTTTGGAAGGAGATTCACTGTAAAAAGATCTTGAGCACAGAGAAAGGAAAAGAAGCTGATAGATAAAATAGTATCTCCCCTCTTGATGCACGCCCTACTTTGCCTTTCTTCACTCTCGGCCTCTTTACAGGGTGCTAGGAATCAAACCCAAGGCTGTAATAATTCCAGACAGAGCTCAACCATGAAACTACAGCCCCAGCTTCTCTTTCTCATTCTTTTCCATTTATTTTATCTATTATTGATATTATTGTAGGGTGGGGAAAGAAAGAGAGAGGACACACACATACCACAGTACATTGTGTGCATGTGTGGAGGTCAGAGTACATGTGTAGAAGTCAGAGGACAACTTGTGGGGTCAGCTTTCTCCTTCTATCATGTGGGTATCAGGAATCAAACTCAGGTCATCAGGCTTGACGGCTAGCACCTTTACCTGTTGAGCCATCCCACTAGTCTTTCACAATATTCTTTTTTTTTTAAATTTTTTTCCCCACAATATTCTTGCTCTGCTTACTGGCTTCTTTCTCAATGGCCTCTCCTCAGCTTACTAACTCATGATTTTCCCTCTTTCTTTGGCATTTTCTTCACAGACCATAAACTGAACAAGAATTTTGAGGGGACTCATGGATTCCTAAGACATTTAAGGGAAGGTAAACATACAACAATAACATATTAGGCACAGAAAAACTAAGGTATAGAGAGAAGGAAAATAATTGTCATTTGCAGAAGGGACTTCTAGCTAACTTGGAATTTAAACCAAGAGCTCAATGAGACAACATGATTAATATTCAACAAACAGAGCTCACTAGTGGGAGAAAAACAGCCAATTAAAGCATTGCAAGAAAGCTAGAGAGACAGTTCAGCTGTTAAGAGCACTAGTTGCTTTTCCAGAGAACCCAGGTTCAAACAGCACACACATGGTGGCTCACATTCTCCTCTAACTTCAGTCCCAGGGTATTTGATGCCCTCTACTTCCCTCTGTGAGCACTTCATGCATGAGGTGCTTAGATACACAAGTAGGCAAAACACTCATATACATAAAATACAATAACTAAAAAAAATTAAAACATGGTAAGACTATATAGGTGTGGTGGTGCACACCTTTAATCCCAGCATTAGAAAGGCAGAGGTAAAGGAATCAATGGCTCCATGTTTTGGTGAGTTGCAGGCCAGTCAAGGCTACATACTAGGATCTTGTATCAAAACAAAACAACAACAACAAAGTCTGATTATTTAAAATAAATAAATAAGGTAGAGAACAGCTGAGAAGACAACCCAGTATCAATTTTTGGCCTTTACATTATATATGTATACAGGTACACATATAAACTGTATACAAACAAGCCCTAAAACAAAAGGTAGGAAATGCCCTATGCTGCAAATGTAGTCACCAAATCATTACGAATCAGAGTGATAAACTCACAAGATGATTTTATGGTATAATTTGGGTAGAAGCAAAGTCCTAAAAGGTTAAATTCCTAAGAAGAAACACTTCTCTCTTTCTGTCGTGGAATTCTTTTAATACATAGTCCCAGCTCCTAACAAGATCTAGCATTTTATTACATTTTCAGTCCTTTTTGTGTTTTGTTTTGTTGTGGAACAGGGTTTCTCTGTAGCTTTAGAGCCTGTCCTGGTACTCCCTCTGTACACCAGACTGGTCTCAAACTCACAGGGATCCGCCTGTCTCTGCCTCCCCAATGCTGGGATTATAGGTGTGTGCCAGCACCACCCAGGTACATTTTCAGCCTTTGTTAAACAGCATTTGCATTTCAAGAAAATATTCAAACTTGCCATAGTTGTACACGCCCATAAGACTCTGGAGGCAGAGACATGAGGACCTCTATGAGTTCAAGACCGGTCTGGTCTACAAAGTAAGTTTCAGGTCAGTCAGAACTACACTGACTGATAGGGCGATAGACAGATGGATGGATAAATAGGATAAAAGAAAAAGTAAGAAATATATTGCCAGGCAGTGGTGGCATACGCCTTGGGAAGGCAGAAGCAGGACGATCTCTGTTAGTTCAAGGCCAGCCTGGTCTACAAGAGCTAGTTCCAGGCCAAAAAAAAAAATATTTATAAACACACACACATATGTACACACACACACACACACACACACACACACACACACACACACAAAAAGATATATCATTACAAGGTTTCTCTATTGGTAACAAAGACCACCAGAAGTTTTGAAACAAAAGACATCAACAAGGCCAAAGCAGGAGATAACAACTCTAGACAAAACTATAAAGTAACTGAAAAGCTTTTTGTGCTAGTACATATGCATTGTGTGAGCATAGAAATGCACATGCCTATGTATACACATGCAGAAGGCAAAGCAGGACATCAGGTGTCTTCAACTTCATCTGCTGTTCTTCACCTTACTGCCTTGATGCTCAGGACCCGCCTGTGTCTGCCAACAACGGTATATACAAGCACAATCATGTCTGCTTTGTATATGAGTGCTGGAGATTCGAACTAAGATCCTCATGTTGTTGAGCAAGTGCTCTTAACCATATCCCCATGAAGCTTTTTTTAAAAATTAATTAATTTACTTATTTATTTATTTTAAACATTGTCCTGGTTGGCCTGGAGTTTACTATGTAGATCAGATTGGGTTCCAACTCACAGATTCACTTTTATCTGTCTTCCAAATACTGGGATTAACGGCACAAACTACCACATTTGGTCTTCCCATGAAGCATCTTAACACCAGGAAAACTCTCTATAAAGGAACTGAGGCACTGAAGTAGCCAGAAGCACCTTGGTGACTGATTGTTGACCCAAACCTCTCCTACTTACATGGAACAGTGGAAAGTGCCAACAGGGTTCTCACGACGGATGTCTTCATATTCCTCGTATATGCCCCGCTTTTGCCTGGTATTAACATAGTCTACCAACTCTTGGATGGTCATGGCATGGGGACCTGGAACATGTACTGAGTCCCAGTCTAAGGCAGGAGGTAGGGAAAACAGGATGATCTCATCGAAGGGATCTGGGTGGCCATTCACTTGGGGCAGGAATTGGAAATTCCAAGTGGCGAGGTCAATTTTGACGAACCCACCCAGATTTTCTGGAAGGCACTCCCTGGGCAGGTGCTGGGTAACTTCAGACGTCTTTAATATCTGAATCTGTAAGGACACAAAGAACTGCACTGAGTACTGGGGCTATAGGTCAGAAAGCATACAGACAAGATAAAAAACAAATGTGTTTATGCTGGATTTGAAAATCAGATGAGATTTGCTTGAAACACTGTGTATTTGAAAAGAAGCAGAATGAATTTTATCTGCTTTGGATTAAAATCCCATAAATTTTTCAGAGAGCTAAGTCCCCAGAATGTCCCTCAAATTCACTCCTGGAATTAGAGTCAAGCTATTTCTCTTCTGAAATGAAGGGATAGTGAATAAAGTCTTCATAGTGTACACAAGGCTTTTCAGCACCATCTCTTGGTGGTCCTCTTTTTTTTCAGAAGCTAAGACTACAGTTAACGATTACTTTTGTCAACCACATACTAACTCAACCTATTCTAAGTCTCTTAGCTTATATTTCACTGACTGCTTGGTATGGATGTCCTCAAAGACAGATTTCTATTAAAGACAAAGTCACCTAGAAATGGTAATCTATGAAAAAGCCTAGATAAATAATCATATTTGATTCTGCTACACACTAAAATATAGACACGCTAAGCCAAGATCTTTGTAGCACAGAAATGCTATTTTTTTAAAGATTTATTTATTATGTATACAGTATTCTGCCTGCATGTGTGCCTGCATGCCAGAAGAGGACACCATATCTCATTACAGATGGTTGTGAGCCACCATGTGGAAGCTGGGAATTGAACTCAGGACCTCTGGAAGAGCAGCCAGTGCTCTTAACCTCTGAGCCATCTCTCCAGCCCCCCAGAAATGCTATTCTTAAAACACCATCCCTTGCTAGTGCCTCTTCCTTTTTCTTAGCATAGGCATCTTTATTTTTTTTTTCATTTTTTTAATTAACTCTATCTTTTATGTATATTGTTGTTTTGCCTACATGTATGTCTGTATGAAGGCATTGGGTACTCTGGAACAGAAGTTGTGACATACAGTTGTGAGCTGCCATGTGAGCACTGAGAACTGAACCTGGGCCCTCTTGGAGAGCAGTCGGTGTTCTTAATCACCGAGTCATCTCTCCAGCCCCTGCCTCTTACTTTAAAAAAAAAAAATATTTCTTTACTATATATAGTGTCCTACCTGTATAACTACATGTATACATGAATACTACGTGCCAGAAGAGGGCGCCAGATCTCATTATAGATGGTTGTGAGGCACCATATGGTTTCTGGAAATTAAACTCAGGTCCTCTGGAAGAGCAGCCAGCATTCTTAACCTCTTAACCTCTCAGCCATCTCTCCAACTCCCCACTGCCTCTTCTTAATTATTTTTTAAATTGTTTGTGTGTGTGTGTGTGTGTGTGTGTGTGTGTGTGTGTGTGTGTGTGTAAACCATGTACAGATGAGGAGGGCACTGGATCCCTGGAATTGCAGATATAGTGAGGGGTCAATCAACTTGGGTGGTGGAAACCTAACTCGGGTACACACTCTAACCACTGAGGCATCACTCCAGCACTCCACCCCAACCTCTTCTTAAAAAACTGTTCCCTTTCTTCTTCTACCTGTTAAAGAACCAGCTCATACGAGTTGGAGAGATGTTAAATAGTTAAGATTCAGTTCAATTTCCAGCATCCACATGGCTTAACTCCAGAACCAAGGGATCCAATGCCCTCTTTTGAGGCAGAGGCAGGCGGATCTCTGTGAGTTGGAGGCCAGCCTGGTGTACAGAGTGAGTTCCAGGACAGCCAGAACTACACAGAGAAACCCTGTTTCGGGGAAAATTAAAACTTAGTAGTAGTAGCAGTAGCAGTAGCAGTAGCAGTAGCAGTAGCAGTAGCAGTAG